AACCAGCCCTCTCTCTCTCTTCCTCTCTCTCACCATCAAACAACCCAGATCCGAGCTCCTCCACCCCCTACCACCTCGCCATCATCCACCTCCGACGACACCAACGTCGAACCCGTAGATCTGCTCCGTCAACCCTCCAAGGTTCGCTCAACTCTCTCTCTGTCTTCAACATCTTGTAAAAGGTGAAATAGTTCACCTTTTAGTCTGAAAAGTTTTTTGTTTTTTGAAGAAACCAGTTGAAAAACGAAGACACACATAAGTGACGCATAAGTGAATCCAGATTCAGTATGTGAGGTGTTTGTTTTTTACCATAAAAATCGTAATTTTTTGCTGTAAAAGGTGAAATCTTTTCATGGTTTAAAATTTTATAGCTTGTTTTTTACCATAAGTTTCTTATTCTTTTTATTTAAAATTTTATAGCTTGTTTTTTATCATAAGTTTCTTATTCTTCAATATAATCCAGATTCACTGGGGTGAATCCAGATTCACTGGGGTGAATCCAGAGTCACTCCAGCGAAAGCTTGGATGGTTAGGATGGTTTTTAATGAATTGTTGAAGAAATAAATGCATGTGCTGTAATTTTGAAGAAATAAACGCATGAGTGAATCTAGATTCACTGCAGTGAATCCAGATTCAGTTATGTGAGGTGTTTGTTTTTTACCATAAAAATCGTAACTTTTTGCTGTAAAATGTGAAATCTTATCATGGTTTAAAATTTTATAGCTTGTTTTTTACCATAAGTTTCTTATTCCTTTTTGTTTTTTATTTTTGCAGATTTGCTATTGTTTGATAACGAGTTTCAGTTCACTAAATCTGGATTCAATTCAGTGAATCTGGATTCACTCCAATGAATCGAGCTTCAATATAATCCAGATTCAATGGAGTGAATCCAGATTCACTCCAGCGAAAGCTTGGATGGGAGGAGCTCGGATCTGGGTTGTTTGAAGGTGGCGAAGGAGATGGAGAGGAGGTTGACGGCGTCGGGTCTGAGGGAGCGTCTTCGGTTCGTCAGAGCGGCTTCGGTTCGTCGGAGGGAGCTCAGGGGCAGTGGAGTTGGAGGAGCTCGGTGAGGAGTTAGTGGTGTTTGTGGTGGTGAGAGAGAGGAAGAGAGAGGGGGCTGGTTCAAGCTTTTGGGAAATGGAGGAGAGAGAGAGAGAGGAGAATATATATATATATATCATACTCCTTTTAAAAACACGAGTTAGGGAAAATCTTTCGGTAGACAAAAATACCCTTGAAATAATTCAAATACTAACCCATTAAGTAAGAGCAAGTTGATAAATTGATGAATTCTTATTGGATATACATATTATGAAAATAGGAGTATAGTTTAAATTGAAATGTAAACATGAATAAAATTATTAAATGCCAACTTTACAAATATATACAAGATAAAGAGCGTATATACAAAAAACAAACAAATCAACGAGACAAAAAATGTTTGCCCCAAAGGTCGAACCTAGAAACAACGCAGATCTATAAATGTACATAATATGGATGAGATATTTGCAAAATTCACCAAAAAAATTAAAGAGACAAGAGTCGTTCTCAAAATTATAAAAAAGAAAAATTCAAAAAAATGGATGTGATCTGAGGACACAACATGGCGATCTCTCACCGATTAAACTTCAAGTAGTTCACAGTAGTGCATAATGAGTTTCAAAGTTTAATTATATTATTATTATTTAAATAAAACTCTATTTATAATTGTTATTCTCTCACATGCAACAGCACATGCCAATATATATAAGCCAAGAAATTACAATAATTTTCATAGCACTTTCATCTCATTCTATAGATATGTGCCTTTGTTATTTTCTTCTTATAAGATTGATTAGATTATTTTAAAGCAATTAATTAT